ACAATTCCTGCAGAGAAATGAAATACTTCCATCCTTTGAACTTAGAGAATATTTTCAAATCCTGGTACAACTAAAAACAGAGTAATTATTTCTCTGCTTATATCAAATTTATCCTATCATATTTCGTTCAAATTTCAAAATTTTAAGGTTTCAAATTTCAACATTCCAAGGTTTCAAATTTCAACATTTCAACATCTCAAATTTCAAAAACCATTCTTCTCCGAAAGAAAAACTTAATTAGCAAAATAGGATCTTCAGTTTGTTTAATTTTAATTTATTTAATTATTTTGTTTTTCGTCGTACCATGATTTTTGGCCCATTCTGCATATATTTTCGAGAAGCGTTACATGCTACATATGTATATATATATATACCTATGGCTACTTTGTAAGGTTATTTTCACCTCTTTTTTGCAATCGATCATTATAGAGTTGTGGACAAATTGTTGAATATTTCAATGGACTGACTATTTTAGTTCAAATACCCGAAAGTCTTACCTAATACTAATATTTCCTTCAAAGAGGAAGTAAAATGGTCAAAATATAAGTAGCATGGCAGTTAATGCTGAAGTTTTTATACATTCACTATTTTCCCTTGTTGATTAAATACACATAAATTTTTTGTTATATTTGTTAGATCCATATATTGCTTTACCTCAACTACAAAGCTACAAGGACCTGTACAAATCTAGCATAGTATTTATGTATTTATATAAAGTAAAGCAAAAATCTTTATAAAGTCGAAAATGATACGAATTTCTTTTCGAAAATAAATCAGTACGATAGAATAAGTTTTATACCAAGATAAATTATCTTCAAGCCTCTGTCTTGGAAACACTGATCTTCCAAAATTATTAAATATGCACGCACTTGAGAATATTCGCGATCATTTAGCAAATTACCTGAATTAAAGGAAAATTTGCTTAAATAAAATTGTTATTGTACCGATAATAATAATTAGAAGTAATAAAAATACATCGAATAACTTGAGTGTATTATTAATTAATAAATGAGATAATACATTTTTTATGATATAAAAAACAAATGATTCTCGATTAAATTCGAAGCATCGTCAATTTGTATTAGTCTGGAATAAATTTCGTAAAATGTTGAAGATAATATTTATGTTCAGGGTTTACTTCGTTATTAGCATAACATTAAATTTCTCGAAATTCTTTGAAACTATTATATTAAATCAGTAATTACTCTTTTAAGTGCGTTAATAGTAAACGTAAAAATTACAAGTATTGAATTTGTAGATATCTTTATAACCCCTTCAATATTGCGTTGAATTTTATCGTTGGATAATTATTGTTAAAATATGAATAACATTCTACCTGGGCTCAATAAGTCATAAATTTTAGAATTTAAAATGAAATATTAACTTCAAAACATTTATTGCAAATTAAATTCCAAAGTAATTATTAGAAACTAATTACGACGTTCTCTTTTAATATATGTATGTAAATCAATCTCGTACATATATTTCTTTTCATTGTTATGGAAATTAATGTACGACGATTAAAGTATATTTGTAATACATATATATCAAATATCATTTGTTTTAATTATCAATTTCATGAAAAAAAAATTATTTTTTCGAATTATGTTCGAACATTTGACAAAGTTACGTAACGTTCGTATGAAATTTCGCGCCATAAAAATGATAAACGTTGTGTGCAAAAGCAGAAAATAACATAACACAAATGTGTGCCTTCAAAATTCCATAAGAATACTTACGAAATTAGCAGAACGCCACTCGTTGAATTCTATAGATGATAAGATGACGAAACACAATTTTCAAAGTATTAACACTAACTACGTAATTACGTAAATTTATATCCAGATGATTTCGCGAAATGAAATACAAAAAGGATCTTGTTAAACATAGAACAGAACAAAACAGAACAAACGCAACATGATAAAAAAGGAAGGATATAATGAACTAAAAACAAATGTTGCTCGCGAACCACTTTAAAAACTTCTTGACATTGCGAGACACCAAGTGAAACTGTCAAAATATTTCGAACTACATTCGTCACTACTTCGCTTACCCCACTACTGTAGTCAAAAGTATTGCAAAGTCATTCGTGTTATGAGTTTAACCAATTTCAGAGAATACGTTTAAACATTATTGATTGTAATGGAACTTTCATTAGAAATACGATACCTTTCGCCATAGTCAAACATGTATAACAAACAACTTGAATTATATATTGTTGTTAAATATATATCAAAATAAACGATGTGAATGAGGCTGTTTTAACGAACGATCGATCGATTATTCGTTTACTAAATCGAAATGTAGGTGTTAAAGGGTGCTACTGTTTCTTTTTTTTTTTTATATACAAACTAATCGTTTTATTTATTCTGCGAAAAGAATACGAATAAATATTTTGTCCGTCAAGATATTTCTTTAACAATCGTCACCTAATTATAACGAGACTACGATTACGATCGGGCTTAGTAGAATTCAGATTTGCGTACGTTCAACTATAAAATATTATTAAGTACACCGTTAGCTATACATCTTTTCCGACGTAATGCTGTGAGAACGACCGTCTCGACAATTATCGTTCGTCGCCCGTTCATAACCAAAGAAATTTCAAGGATTACACGTAGAATTTCTAACCTGTATTCTGATTGCGAAATGGGGGTTATATAATTCACAAAATAAGTAAACTTATTTTTAATCGAATCTTTACGAAAGAAAATAAAATATTTGTACAAATTATATGGGTCGCTGTGTTGCGCTCCGCGTTTACCCGAAGATCGTTTCGAAAAATCGCTTTCAGACTGACCGCACGCGTTTGGTTCAATTCCAGCGATGAGCCAACCTCGACTATAACAGCAAGTTAGAGCCGTGAAAAAAGGACTATAAAAAGCAACGTAGCTGTCCGAAATGGACGACTTTCCGACAGAATTACTTTTCGTCGTTACAATTTTCGTTGATGATACTTAGGCCTGTATGTACAACGATTATAAACAGGTCACTTGAAGAATACATTTTCATGTTATGGTCGTTTCAAAAGTTCTTCTGAGACTAACATTGCTTATTTAACGGCACTCTGAAGAACGGCGTTATATAAATATTATGTATCCCTAAAGCTTCCAACATTCGAACGTTACATACAGGCCTCAGAATCACTCCGTTGCAGTAGATATAGCTAGCTACCTATAAACATTTTTGTATACATACGTATACACATTAATATATAACATTTAAGCGACAATATACGCATCACAATATATCGTTCGGCGTGTCACACGTGATCGTATCACAATGGATCACGATCCATACGTGCCCGCTTTTACACCGATAAAAGCGGTTGTACGAAAAAAGTAACTAAAGGCTCGAAAAAAAAAAAAAACTACTCGATCAGTCGATTGTATTTTATACATGCTTGTGTTGCGTATGCGTATGAATGAATACGTATGACTGGTGGTACATGTTACATCGTATGCACGTACATAACATCATCGTTCTGAACTTTCCATACACTCTTTTCTTTTCGTAACAGTCATGTTTTCTACTTCTGCTATGCGCAAATCGCTGACCCACGTTACATTTTCTGTTCTTTTCTCTTACGCTCGTACGCATTCAGATTTGAAGGCGGATCTCAATGAAGACTCGCGATAAAATTTGTAAAACTCCACTCACTTACACTAATTTCGTTATCTCTCAAGACTGTACAAAATTAACCGAGAAAACAGTACTTTTATATAAATTTAACATTTCCTCTAGATTCGAGTCTATGGACTATTGTTTATTAAGCATACGCTTGTCTCTTTGCGTACATATACACATTTTAACAGATTGATTGCTTTTTATCGTCGGTGCTTCATAAACGCGTCCGAAAAAAGGAAGGAAAAAGAGACCTGGTTCGAACTTTTATCACAGTATCGTATTACTGTAGTACGAAGCTCTCGGGCATTTTGGTGCGAAACGTAGCTGGCACACGGAGTTTTCTCATTTTCTCTCACTTTCCTTAGATACATGCACACACACATTCGTCCTATCACTCGCACATTGCACCACGAAGGAAGCTGGGAAGGCACAGTGTATGTACATATATGTATGTACAGCACCGAACGACGATCGGGGACAACTACAGTACTCGTGGTACACGAAATTTAAATATCGATGAAACGCCATTACAAGATTATACAACTGAACGCTGGTATACCAACTTATAACATACGAAATCGAGGAAAGAATCGAGAAAAGTTTTGTTAGCTGATTAAAAAAAGTTACGTCTTCTAATTCCGTCATTGACTAGTTAGGAACCTTCGGTAAAACTCAATTGGATTCTTCAATGAGTCGTCAAAGGTGTCTCTAAATCTAGTACATTTTCGTTAATTTTTTTAACTAACAAATATTTCCTCGCGTTTGATTAAATTCAACGTAAATGGAGGAAATTTATTCTACAAGTATTGTTACTTTAGTCATTAAAGTAAAAGTCCTTTTTGAAGGTAACATAAAAACACTAAGTACTTCTTTTGATTCTGTTGGCAATGTTCTCGTTTCTTGATAATTTAAATGGATTTTAAATCCATGCAACCAACGAGCTTTGTATGCTCTTAAACACCATTGACTAGACCTTATCGGAAGCCCAAGTTTCTGCTTCCTTGCAGTGCAATGATTAATCATAAACGAGGACATGGCTAGACAGTACAGATATTAAACTTACGGTCAGTATCATTTAAAAAACGACTCTATTGACTGTATCAATTTTACTCTCGCACTTTCCATGATTTCAGTTAAAGTTGTTTATCTTATGTTATTCTTAATGCAAGACACATTAACGTCAAGCTTAAAAACGTTAAATACCACTGACTAGACCTAGCGGATATCTCCGCTTCACTTTTTATGAAATCTCATTTAACATTATCAAGAAAGTACAACAGTATCATTGACCAATCAAGAAGATTATTGCGATACAATACGGTCGAGTTTTGAAGTTATGAAAATCGAGTACCACGTAGAAACTGTGTGTCCTCCGTTCGTAGGCACAAGAATATAAAACGCTCTTGTCGATTGACTCTCATTTTTCTCCGTTAACAAAACTACGCAGTTCCTGGATGTATGGCGGCGTGCTTTGGTAAGACTGCTGGCGGCGATCCACGTCGTTTGAGTATCCGTTGGCAGCCTTTGGGACGGAGCTTCGTCGTTGCTGCGTCAGTTTCACAGATCGGTCCTCTTGGAGGACAACGAGGAGGAAGAAGAGGCGCAAACGGACGAGACTGAATACCTTCACGATGAGTCGTAGGGATCACCTGCATGGTGCTAGGAGTACTTCGAGCCAACACGGACAAGAGGTGACTTCCTGTCTTGAGTACTTGGGTCCCCAGCCTTTGGCGAAGCTGATGCGGACGGAGTTGATATCAACAGGACCAGAGGCAAAACCTGAAGCCTGATTGCTCATTCTTGTGGTACCATTGCCATATGGAAGCTGCAGAATTTTGGTTCGGTCAAAGATGTTCAGACAAAAGCCTGGAGACACACGATAGACAAGTAGTGTTCTAGACTCTGGGTCATCCAGAGTGGGTGAGTTCACAAAGATCGGGCTTTCAGATCTGTTGTATGCCCACACACCGTCTGCTTCTTGACTAAGCATTAAACCTGCAAATAAATGATAATTTCCTTATTAGTATACATTTACTTCACCAATTTAAGTTTTAGATTTAATCTGAATCAATATGAAAAATCTAAATGTAACTTAACAGTTTCATTAACGATTTAAACAAATGTCATTAAATTGCTTCTTTACATTTTTAATAGTACAACATCCTAGGAATAAAAAATAAGAACCTTACCAAGACCAATTTTGCTTCTTGTTCTTTGGACTACAGGTGATGCAACATGATTTTCAGCTAGAGTTGCTAAGCAGAGGCCATCGCCATCATGGAGGGAATCAAAAACATTTACTGTTGAAGGTTCCACAGGGTAAAGGCGACCCACTCGACCACCCAATTCCCAATATGCTAATGTACACCATTCCTTCTGTCCCATTTCACCTGTAACAAGAGAAAAGAATTATTATTAGTATTAAATCATAGTTTCTAACAACTACTATGTAAAGTACAAATATAAACAATTACTATCACACAAAAGCAATGTAACATTGACAATAAAATATATTGTCAAGTGTATTTTCATGATGAACATACATGTCATGAAGACCCAAGTATAATAATGATAAAAATCACAAAAATTCATTTCTATTGGTTCTTTTCTACAAACCTAATAAAATATGTATCCAGCGACTGCAAGTTTGCTAATTGAAAGTTCTCAATAGCGTGGGCATCAAAGAATTTAATCAGTCGTTTTTACAAAGAACTTCCATGAAACACGATAGAGGCATGTCTCGAAATAAGATGAGATCTATCATTAGCGAGGAGTCTTTCTTTCTTGGTAAAAGTGTTCGTTCGGTGAGAGGCTGCGGGCGTACAAGCGGTATCATAAAGGACTTGTCGCCGGAAAGTCCCACGCGTCTCGCCAACCGTCGTGGGGATGACGACGGCGCCAGATTCGAGAGTAGACAAGAGAGTAGACGGAGAAAGGAAAAAGAATCTGCTGCTGCGACGTAGAAAGGCAGAAGTTACACGCAGTTGTGGGAAAGGATATAAGAAACGATAGAACTTTTCAAATCATCAAAACCTTTCTACAAATATTCGCGAGATCTACGACACTTAAAATACAACAGTTGAGTTATTTAAATGTTGCAAAAATTAATAGGTCACATACCACGGATGTGACGTAATTGCCAATATCAAAAGATCGTACTACGCAATAAAACTTCGTTCTTAATCCACTTTAGAATATATGAAAGATTTTAATAAGAAGCGATGCGTCTTCACTGTGTCAGTAGGAAATATTTAATTTTTTACAGATAACTCTTGAATTTTTATAGGAAACGCGATGTTTCAACAGAACATATGCTTGCTCGATCGTTTTCCATTCCTACAGCTTAAATAAACGACATCGTAGAGAGTTCAGCTATCACGTGCTGATACACGATTTAAAACGATACAAAATTCACCAAATCCTGTTCATTTATTTCGCTTTAACCTATGATTAATTACGCCGGTCGGTATTCATGGAACATCGAATATTCCCCGGCAGATAAAAGAAAGTACCACAGGTGGACCTGATTGGCGCCGTTTTATCAGACATCCTTAAAAAGGAACATCGAAAACGCTTTTAAATATGCAAAGCACTAGCGAGGACGAACGGTTCGACCAATAAATCGATCGTAACTTTTTGCTATAATTAACGTGTCGCCGCAATGTTGGCGCCCGAACCTACCCTAACCTGTTCCCGATCAAAACGTGTTTACGCCATCTTTCAACGGATCCGTGAACTTAATGCCGCCTTCTCAACGGTAGGTAATTCTTGCTTTAATTGTCGCTGCATATAATTCCGATCGAATTCAACAATCACGTTTGATCGAACATACTTATGCATATACACACGGTTGTACTCGTGCTTGGCGTGGCAGAGGAATACAACGCGTAGTACGACAGAAAAAAAAAAGAGAGAAAAAAAGGAAGAAGAGAAAAAGAAACAAAAGAAATTTCAAAGGCGAGGAGGAAGATAACGAAGGATGGTAGTATGACGAGTTCGAGAGACTGGTCATTCCGAGCGGAGGCTGAATTTAGAGGTTAAGAGTCAGGAAGAAGAGAGGCGGTGGAATACGGGTGTGTCGAAGTACGTCCTAGTGTGGCTGTGCGCGAAGGGGGGAAGGGACGGGGCGGAGCCCCTGCTTCCACCAGATAAAAATAGATATTACGAGTTTACCGCGGCGCCAAGATTGCGGGGTATCGCGACGATTACGTCATCGGTAGTAGCGCGAGTGGTTGGAGCAAGGACGCTTGTCGCGTCGGCTGCCGCCGCCGTCGCCGTCGTGGTTGTCGTCGTCGTCGTGGTGGTGGCGAACCACGAATTTTCGTGTCTATATCTACGATCGTCCACAGTCAGCTTTTAACCGATTTCGACAAACCCACAGCTCGCCCCGCGCATTCAATCATGGCGCTTCGTCTAAGAACGGACACACGTGTCGCCAGTTTGGTGACCATTCCCACCGAGCGTTACTCACGTTTCTTCCAAGCTTTTTTATTTTTCTTGCTTGGATGCACGTTAATACCAGTAGAAATTTATCGCGCTCGTAAAACCTGATTTCTGATCGATGTTTCAAATACGTTCGTTGATATTTGCACCGTTTCGGAATTATCATTTATTCATTTTCAGATATTTTACGAAGAGGAAATCTTGTAACATTACGAATGTGATACATTTTCGACATTTTCTTACTATATTGGATTTAAGCATTTTTCGACTCCATTTTTTAATATTCGTTGCAAGATAACTTTGTTTGATGCGACTGTTCACTTTTTTGGGATTTATCGCGACGAATCGGTAAAAATATCATTTTATCAATATACTTTTATTTGTTATTTTCTTGTATATTTCATATACGTATATCAAGTATCTGACTCTAAAAATATAAAATTTCGCTCATACTAAATATTTATTACCTGAAAATTACTCTTAAATAAAATACAGATTTAAGAACCTAAATATTTCGATTACATGATCCACTGCTTAATTAATTTCATTAATTAGTTCGTTCCGTTCGGGCGCAAAGAATTTCATTTTCAAACGATGTTTAGCAAATTACACAAAATTTAATTACTTCACACAAACCAAACATTCCGATGTGTGAATGGACCAAATGTCCTTGATATACACTATGCTAATTATGCTTGATAAAAATGTTTCACGGCGTATGATAAACCGTATTATATCGTGCATGCATCAATGGAATATTATCACACGGTACTTTAATAAATATTATGTTCTCGTAATCTCTTTAATTGTGAATAATTGAAGAAAAAAAAAAAATTG